GTTTCAAATATTCTTTTAATGATTTGAATGGTTCAATTTCTGTTTATAAGAATGGTGTTTTTTATGTTTGAAGCTTTACCTTGTGATGGTGTGTATGAAACAGTGACTTGTGTTGATAGCTTAGGAAATAGTGTACTTAATATTGACTTGTCTAATAGTGTAGACAAGGCATGCTTGTGGCATTGTCGTCTTGGACACATTAACAAGAAACGCATAGCCCAACTCCAAAAGGATGGAGTGTTGGAATCATTTGACCTAAAATCAGATGATATGTGTGAATCTTGTCTTTTGGGAAAGATGACAAAATCACCATTCACAGGGTCTTGTGAAAGAGGTGAAGGTCTGTTGGATCTCATACACACAGATGTGTGTGGGCCCTTCAGATCAACTACAAGAGATGCTAATCGATTCTATGTGACTTTCACTGACGATTATAGCAGATATGGATATATCTACTTGATCAAGCATAAGTCAGAAACTTTTGAAAAGTTCAAAGAGTTTAAGCATGAAGTCGAAAATCAATTGGGCAGAAAGATAAAGATACTTAGATCCGATAGAGGCGGGGAGTATCTTAGTATCGAGTTTAACGACTATCTGAAAGAATGTGGGATAGTCTCACAATTGACTCCTCCTAGGACACCACAGTTAAATGGTGTAGCTGAGAGGCGTAATCGAACCTTGTTAGACATGGTTCGTTCTATGATGAGTCGGGCTTCGCTTCCCATTCACTTCTGGGGGTATGCCTTAGAGACAGCCGCCCACATCCTCAATCTTGTCCCTACAAAGAAGGTTGCCAAAACACCTCACGAAATGTGGACAGGGAAAGTTCCCTCGTTAGCACATATTAAAGTCTGGGGTTGTGAAGCTTTCGTAAGACGAGAGACTCACGACAAGCTAGCAGCTAGAAGTGAGAAATGTGTTTTCATTGGTTACCCAAAGCAGTCTTTTGGATATTTGTTCTACAGGCCTAGTGAGAACGTGGTCTTTGTAGCACGAAGAGGAGTCTTTCTTGAAAGAGAGCTCATATTCAAAGAGGACAGTGGGAGCACTATTGACCTTGAAGAAATTCAAGAGTCAGCCAATGAAGGAACCTTAGATGACACTAGCACTCAACCAGAGGAAACAGTTCCTGTTGAACCAATCGATAACTCATTACCTCTTAGAAGATCCACTAGGGTGAGTGTGCCACCTGAGTTGTATGGTTTTCATATTACTTCAGATGGTGACACATTCATAAGTGACAGAACACTGGTAAACTTAGATGAACCAGTCACTTATAAGGAAGCAATGGCAGGCCCAGAGGCTTCCAAGTGGAAAGAGGCAATGGACAGCGAGATTAAGTCCATGTATGACAACCAAGTTTGGAATTTGGTTGATAGTGCACCAGGTCGTAAGACAGTTGGGTGCAAATGGATCTTCAAGAAGAAGACAGACATGGATGGAAATGTGCACACATTCAAGGCTCGACTGGTTGCAAAAGGTTTCACTCAAACCCCAGGGGTTGACTATGATGAGACCTTCTCGCCAGTGGCTAAGATTAAATCTATTAGGATATTGCTCGCCATAGCTGCCTTTCATGATTATGAAATCTGGCAGATGGATGTCAAAACTGCTTTCCTTAATGGGAAGTTGGCTGAAGATGTTTACATGAGTCAGCCAGAGGGTTTTGTTGATGCAAAGTTCCCCAATAGAGTGTGCAAGCTTGAGAAATCCATTTATGGATTGAAACAAGCATCTCGCAGTTGGAATCTTTGCTTCCATGAGAAAGTCAAAGAGTTTGGTTTCTCTAGAAGTGAAGATGAGTTTTGTGTGTATATCAAGGCTAGTGGGAGTATAGTAACTTTTCTGGTGTTGTATGTCGATGACATATTACTCATTGGTAACGACGTTCCAACCTTGAAAGAAGTTAAGTCTTGGCTTGGAAAGTGTTTTGCCATGAAAGACCTTGGAGAAGCTGCCTATATTCTTGGGATTAGAATATTGAGAGATAGAAAGAAGAGACTAATTGGACTTAGTCAGAGCACATACTTGGATAAGGTACTAAAGAGGTTTAGTATGGAAAATTCCAAGAAGGGAGAGCTACCTATCCAGAGCAATACCAAATTGAGTAAGACTCAATGCCCGAGTACAGATGTTGAAATAGATGACATGAGTCGTGTACCTTATGCTTCCGCTGTCGGATCGATCATGTACGCTATGACATGTACTCGCCCTGATGTGGCATTTGCTTTGAGCATGGTCAGTCGCTATCAGGGAAACCCAGGTAGAGCTCATTGGATAGCAGTTAAGAATATACTCAAGTATTTGCGAAGGACAAAGGACTGGGTCCTTGTGCTTGGTGGCAGTGATACTTTGAGAGTAGATGGTTACAGTGATGCCAGCTTTCAGACGGATAGAGATAACTTCCGTTCTCAGTCGGGCTGGGTGTTTTTACTGAATGGAGGAGCAGTTACTTGGAAGAGTTCCAAGCAAAATACGGTGGCTGATTCTACTTGTGAATCAGAGTACATAGCAGCAAGTGAAGCGTCGAAAGAAGCAGCTTGGTTGAGGAACTTCATCGGGGATCTCGGAGTTGTTCCAACCATCCAGGAGCCTATGGAACTGTTCTGCGATAATGAAGGAGCGGTTGCCTTGACAAAGGAACCGAGAGATCATGGTAAGACCAGACATATCGACAGAAAGTACCATTTCATCAGACATAGAGTTGAAGAAGGCCATCTTATAGTAAAGAGGGTGTCATCTGAAGATAACCCAGCAGATCCCCTCACAAAGGGTCTGAGTAGGGCTAAGCATATTCAGCATGCTCGGAGCATAGGACTGAAAGATGATATTAGTTTTAGTAGTTAGATTAGTTTTTCTGAAACTTGTAACAAAGTAAATGTAATTGACTTTTGGTGATTAAATAATAAAGTATTATTTATAAGTTTGGTTTCTGCCTTTTGTCAATTGTTTATTATTGTGTTTCATTTTTGCATGTTTTACTTCCCGAATAATAAGATTATTCAAACTCCACAGTCGCTCGTACTTTGGAAGTAAGTAGTGAATTAAGACTGTCATGAACTGGATTGTAGATTGTCTAAGGATAGACATGGCAATAGAATTGCTGCAACGTTCATGAGTACTCAGAAATTGAGATTTGAGTATTGGATAAACCCTCGCTCAGAGTATCACTTCATGGAATTCATCACGAGTAATACTGAGACGATAATATCTTATAATCTTGAAACGAAGATATATGAGTTGTAATTTACAAGTCGGTCATGCATTGGTGATACGAAAACGCATCAGTAACTTGGTGTTATAAAACGTATTGTCATGTATAATTTGATGAGTAAAAGATACAAGCATATGAGTCAACGTTTATTCGTTCCTTTTGCCCTAATAGGAAAAGCGATATCTGTGGGCCCCTCGATGATTTGGTGTTGACTTATGTGCTGGGCCCAGCCAGGACTAAATTGATGTGTTCAATTAGAAGTCCTACATCATCACAAATCAGGAATCGGGAAACATAGATTCTGGACAAAGAGATTGATTACATTCCATGTCTTTTGTCTAGGGATATCTAGCAGAACGAAGGATTATATGATCACTTATCTTAGGACACGTAACTGACTGGGTCAGAGTTCGGCAGCAGCTTTTGGAAGCTACAATTTGCTGGTCAAATTTAGAAGGCATACTAGCAATTATAGTTACAGACTTATCCAAGTGGGAGACTGTTGGATTAGGTGTCTAAGCCCATAACTATAATTGGTATGTACTTGAATTGATAGCAGCACAGTCCTTTTGGGTTGCCCTCAACCTAGCAACTGGACAAGGAAATTATGAAAGGAGAGATATTAATTTATAAGATTAATAAATTAATATATATATAAATGATTTATTAATATGTTAAAAGATTAATATATTAATTAATTAATATATTAATTAGAAATCATTATGTTTAATTAATAGTTAGCCAGAAATTAATTAGAATTAATTTTGGGGTTAAAAGAATTAATTATAAAGTGCAGGGACTAGTTTACAATTAACTAATAGTTGAGTGGAAGGTTCCAGAACCCCCTTGGAAGGAGGGTGGACGAAATCTTAGGGGAAACCCTAGAGATTTCGTCCAAGGGGTCCAAATAAGGCCTTTGGATCTTGCTTAGGCCCTAAGCAAAGGATAACTAGGGTTTTCCCTAAACCCTAGATCCCTCAGCTATTTAAGGAGCCTCCTGGCTCACATTTGAGGTCACTGATTTCTTTGGAAGAAACCCTAAGGCCGAAATTGCATACTCTCTCCATCCTCTCTCCTCCAAGTTTCCTTCTTGCTAGTTCTTGGGTGTGATTCCATTAGAGGCATTACATTTGTGGTGCTAAGCTTCCAAGAAGATCAAGATCAAGATCAAGAGGATTATCAATTGTTTGCTATAACAATTGAAAGGTATGTAACTCCTAAACCCTAGTTTGTTAATTTCGAAATTAGCCTCTCTCCTCTAGGGTTCTTGTTTTTGCAATTCAAAGTTATATGTTCAATAGTTAAAACATAGATCCAACGTAGGTTGCATGTGAACTTAGGAATTGTTTTCTAGTTTATTTGTTTTTACCTAAAACCCATCAGTTTGTCCTCCAAAGCTTTAATAGTATCACTATTATATGGTGCAACACCCGATGAGCATAACACTTTCACTGCTGCGGTAAAATGACCATCTGCAACCTTACGGAGACACTGTCTGATGTTGGTGTTATTTGATGTAGACCTCCTTCTGAAGGATGCCTCCAACCCTGTCTCATAGCTCCAACCTCGGGATTGTCTAACATATTTTGAACTAACTTCGTGATACCACCCTCTTTCCCCCATGTATCCAAGGACTTCAGGATGGAGTTGTGATGTAAAAAGGAGACACATATGGAACTAAATGGATGAAGAGGTGAATGGAGTGCAAAAGGGGAGTTGAATTCCGAGAAGATTATCGTGGGGAAAAGAATTGAGATCAAGGACATGGGGGAAAATACCGGAAGAAATGGATGGTAGCTGTTGCACTAGCCGATTTACCTGGGATCATGGAGGAACCGAAACTCTATACGTACTGGAGGTTAAAGATGGAGTGAACACAAAGGTCGTGGGCAACCTTTGAGGTGGAAGATGCTAAAGAACGTAGTAACAAACAGTGATGATAGTTCTGAGCCTGAAACATAATAGTCATTTCATGAAAAATAAAATATGTTTGTGAAAAATTTATAAATTTGTGAAATAATGGTAGAAGTAAAAATAATACTGGATTTGAAAATTTTGATTGTTTATGATTATTCACATATAAGTAAAACAACTTGTAAAATTATTTAAAAACATTTCACAAAATTCTACACTAAAACCAAAAAACAGAAACAATCTAACAGAAAAAAAAATCATATTCAAATGTTTTTTTCAGGCCAAAAACCGAATTGTTATTTACACTATTTCACCATTGACACATGTTTCCATTTCACTCAGCCCCAACGTAAACAAAACCACTCTCTCGTACCGATCTTTCCCGTATCACCATGGAAACCGATCGCACAACCGGCAGCACTCCTGGATCCATCGAATCGCCGCCTCAGCTTCCGCCACCAGAACCCCACCATCACCACGACCACACCAGCGCCTGCGTCAACTGCGGCGGCCCTACTTCCTTCCCACCACCACCAACATGGTCCGAAACCTCTCCTCCGCCGGTCTACCGCCCCATTCATTCGCGCTCCCGCAATCAACCTCCCTCCCAACAACAACGCGCAACAGACCATTATACTGACACCAGTTCCTCAAGCCCAAAAGGTCTCCGTCGTCTCTCCACCCTACCACTTCCAAACCCCGACCAAAATTATTCACTCCGAAGACGATATCCGCCGTTTCCGTGACTCTGCTACTTCCAAAAACTACCTCGGCTTCGTCGTCGCCCTCTCAGAATCCATCCGCGGCCACAAGATCTCTGATCCATGTCACATGTCTCCCACAATCACCTCCATCATCTCCATCCTTCAAACCCTACTTCAATTTGCAGATGAAATTCCTCCTCTCCAACAGTCTGCTCGATACGGTAACCTCGCGTATCGGGATTGGCACAGCCGTATGACTGAAAATGCGGATTCCTTAACGCTCCAATTCCTCCCCGCCGATCTCAATTCCGCCACCGTGGAGATAACCCCTTACTTTACCGATAGTTTTGGGAATGCGAGCCGAATAGACTACGGAACTGGACACGAGACTAATTTTGCTGCCTGGCTGTATTGTCTTGCGAGATTGGGAATCATCAAGGAAGAGGATTACCCAGCTGTTGTTTCTAGGGTTTTCGTGAAGTACATTGAACTCATGCGAACCTTGCAGCTGGTTTACTCTTTGGAGCCTGCTGGTTCACATGGGGTGTGGGGGCTTGATGACTACCACTTCTTGCCTTTCATTTTTGGGTCTTCGCAGTTGATTGATCACAAGTATATGAAGCCCAAATCAATCCATAATGGTGATATACTCGATAATTTTTCCAAGGAATACATGTATCTATCGTGTATTGCTTTTGTAAAGAAGGTTAAAAAGGGGCCATTTGCAGAGCACTCGCCATTGCTGGATGATATTAGCGGGGTGCCGAATTGGAAGAAGGTGAACAGTGGATTGCTTAAGATGTATAAAGTGGAGGTCATGGAGAAAGTTCCCATTATGCAGCATTTCCTCTTTGGTTGGCTCATCAACTGGTAAGTCTTATGTTATCCTTCCAAAATATTCCGCCAATCAAACCTCCTTATAGTTCATGTTTCAGTCTTCAAATCCATTTGTTAAAGTTAAGATTTTTAATTTCTTGCTTATCCTCATCATGTAAGAATATCTCTAAACATGGTTTTGAGTTTCTAAACATCCTTTGGATATAAGTTGTTGGATCATGATCACTAGCCATTCTGCATAATAGAAATTGTTCTCTTCAAACTCTTGACCTTCTTGAGGAAAATAAAACATCTGCTCAAATTAAGTATAATTTCTGGCTATATACCTTTTTACACCAAAATGAATTTTGTCAATCAAGTAAATATCAAATACTTATGACTTATGACATCAAATCCCAAATACTTATGAGTTATGACATCAAATCCCAAATTTAGTATAATTGCATAGGTTGTATTAGTTAATAGGAATTTAGAAAACAGAAAATGTATTAGAATACCCATAAAAAACAATGCTACAAGAAGTATGAAGATTACAAAGAATTTCTTAAAAAGTGTCCTGAGTATTGATGGATGTTTGTTTTGGCAGGGAGTAAATTTAGAGGGAGGGAGCAGTTTTGAGTTTTGAGTTTTGAAGCAAACATGTTGAACTTCAGGTTTAGACACTACACTTATTTAAAAGATGACTTTTATATTTTGCTTAACATGATCATGATCATGTATTTGATTGCTATGCCAATATTACTTACTTAACATGTGTTTAGTTTGTAGAATATTACACCTTTTTCCTTGTCTTCTATTCCTAAACTATCTATTCTAAAACATCAAAGTACAGCCATTCCCGAGTAAAATTATAAAATAAAGGGTTATTGTTAGAAAAATCTCATTATTTTGTCATAGTTTATGGAAAAATCACAACTTTTATTTTTTGAACGGAAAAATCTCGATTATCTAATGTTTTGTTTTGCCCAAATTAACGGAAAAGTCCTTGTTTTTTTTTAACGGAAAATGATAGATTATTGTGTAAGATTAAATCATCGGAACTCTTTTGTTCAAAAAATAAAAGTTGGAGACTTTTCCATAAACTAAGACAGAATCTAACAATAATCCTAAAATAAATGGAAGATAATATTATATAAACTAGACCAAACTCTACAACTTAATGCTTTTGCACCCTGAGAAAGATTCAACAAAATGAAGATTCGATGACACAAATATCAAGCATTGCATCGACAAAAAGCAAAGACAATAATGGTAGGATATATGCGTTTGTGTGAAAGGAATTGTTTACTTCAATTTTTTTTTATTTTTAAATAGTGTCATTTATAGTACTTAGTGTTGATTGAAAAAAAAAAAAAATTGAAGTATCCATTTCGCTCACAGAGCTTCATTAACAAAAGTATTGCCCATTTGTTTCGATATTAAGGGTGCATTAAACTCAAACTCCTTGCACATCAAAACTTCAACTTTCCGACATAAGACAATGCTTTTCATGACAACAACTACAAGTCACAGCATATCATGCAAAGTAATCCTATTTTTATTCATGCGAAAAATCGACACTGACGTTACAATTCCATCATATTTTGTTTTTAATGACCCACGAACACAAAATTACAAGTATAGGAATGAGGAATGAATGGTCTACCACTTAAAGATGTATTTTGGAACAATTTCCAACAAACCCTGCTACTTCGAAAGAGACAAATCTATGCATGTAACAAAAGTAGAATCCCTATGTGCATAAAAGGATATATGATGACAACGCACCTCTTAATGATAATTACTGTGGTAGAGGAGGTGTTAACTTTCCAAAAATCTTCAAAAGGAGAACATACATGATGCAATTTATGTTAGACACCAAAACCGAATAGGTTCCGGAAACTTTTTCCAGAATTAATCAACATCTTCAATACAAGATGCAATTTATGTTAGACACGACCAAAACCGAAAAGGTTTTGGAATATTTTTCCAGAATTCATCAGCATCTTCAATCTTCAATGACTCTTTGATTTCTCACATTTTGACCTTAGTGTTGGTGCACTCACACAATGTCAACAGTGCCCCAATTTGTTTGAGGTCGTTTATGTAAGATATATATGGACTGTAAGATTGTCTTTCTAGAAAAGTCATTATGGAGAGTGGAAAGCTTCAACATATATAAAGACATAAGGAATTGTGTCGCATCGATGTGATATACATTAACAATTGAGTATATAAAAAAAATAAACCTCAGAAACCACCAACTAACACGAGAAGTAAGAGTCAAACCATCAAGAGTATGTAGTCATATAACATGCTTCATGTATATAGTTTAAAAGAAAAAGTCACCAAAGTACAATGTCTAAATGAAAACTATTATGGCTAAAAAAATGGATTGAACTATTGCAACTATCACACAAAAGAATTAAATAGCTTTTCCCTTTGAGTGTATTTGTATATAATCACATACATAATTCTAATTTTAGAATATTATACCGCTACTAAACCTTGCACATAATATACAATACATTATCTTACGAATTAAAGCAATGAACTTTATGAGCAACCATAATGAAACATGCTATTACCAAAATTATTGCAAAATTTTACAAATATTCAAGTATTCAATGTTCCCAATCCAAGTAATTTCAAAAGGATTCTATTCTAACCACATAAAAATCTCACTACAAGCACTTGATGTGATTAACCTTCCATGGCCTCCAACAAAAATGACTTGATCATGGTTTTGTTCTTCAATGACACGTGAAGAAAGATTATGATGAATGAGATGAACTTTGGAGTTATATGTGAATCAAATGATGTTTATTGAGCGACTCCATGATGTTTTAACCCTAGAAATTGCCCTTACATGCCCTCCTAAGGGTTAGAGATCGTTCCATTTTATGTATTTCTCAAAATATGGAAAATATGAATTTCTTACTAAAAAACTATTTTTCTATTACTCGGCGTCGAAGTGACATCCATCTACTGTAGGTTTGGCTCCTGAACATTGACTTTTTTTTAGTTGTGCCTTTTTACCTCTTCATTTGTCAATCATTTTCCATCCTAGCTCTTTGATTTCCATTAATACATAATCCTACAAAACATCAAAATGGAACCATTAAGGACTAAAATTTGATGTTTAAAAATGAAATAAATGACAAATAATGTCATATAAAATGAATTGACCAATATTTATTAGTTCATCCGACTAGTGGCAAAGTTCATACTCCCTTTAGTAGTTTTTGTTCAATTTATTAACATAAGTATCAACATCCGTGAAGTTGAGAGTTGGCAACACTCTTATGAAACACCACTTTCTTTTATGAGTGGGGTTTAATAGTTTAATAGACTTAAATATTTCAAGTTTGAATACTCCAAAAGTTTTAATATGCAGAAAATGGTCTAAAAATTGGGAAAACTCTACAAAAACCCTACATATTATCCTCTAATGCTCGAAAAAACCATTATGTTGTCCATGATCAGGTTCCCAGATGTGGAACAATGAGTCACTGGACAACCCCTCATCTGACATCAAAATAAATAATAAGACTTGTTGAGGAGGATATATAAAGTTGGAGCCAATGATCAAGAGTACCTTGTATGTAACGCACGATGCGTATCATGGACTGAAAGTGTACCTAATGAGGGTCAATCGTAGAAAACTTATAGTGGTGGAAGAGGGAGACGATAACAAAAAGACTCATAAGAAGAGAGAGAAAATGGCCAATGAGTGAATAGAGATATTTTAGGAGAGAGATTACCTAAGAAACCCTTCATACCATGATAATTGGTAAATTTATCATTGATATTTTAGATGAATTACAAGTTATAAATACTAGCACACTACAATATAATGCCTAGTTGTTAGTAAGAATTTTACACCATTAGTGAAAACAAGATACAAGATGAGCATAACGCATAATAAAATTAAGAATCAAGGAACCAAACCGTATTTCCCTTCTCCAAAACTTCTCTCATTAAACAGTGGGCAACTGTAACGATAAATGAGATATTTATCAATTATCATTTTTTGAGAGAAAAAATATGGGACATGGGAGAAATAAATGTTTTATTATACAAAATCAAAACATAAAATGATTTTATTGTATTAAATCATAAAATAAAATGATTTTTTTGTACAAAAAAACAACATAATGGTTTTTTCGCGCATTAGAGGATAATATGTTGGGTTTTTCTGATGTACAAATACTAGGTTACTGGCTTTCAAGGGTTTTCTAGGGTTTATCGTACACAAAAATAACATAATGGTTTTTTTTTCAATCATTGGAGGATAATAAGTTGGGTTTTTCTAGGGTTTTCCCTATATCAAAACAAGTTTAATGTTTCAAAAGTGTGAGGTTGATTCAATTAATAAACAAAACATAGTCCAAATGAACAACACAGGTCGTGGCCTCAAAATATCATTGTGCTCTTTTGGACATCTTACTCTATGGTCTTCAATATAAGTACATGTCAAAGTATAAGTAGGAAATGTAATGTCTAGTGAGAATAACCGATGGTTGACTCATATTGAGTAATGTTGGAAAACCTTACACTCGAGTCAAATCTCCAAAATCAATTAAAAGTCAACAAAGTCTTTTAAAGGTTCAATAATCTTAGATCAAGATTTCAAGGGTACTAAAGACCTAATCCAAAGTTAGGGATAATAATTCATAAACTCAAATCAAAAGGGTTTAATAACCCATCAATCAACTAAAAGGTTCAATAACAAATAATTCAAGGTAAAAGGTGTAAGACCCCGTTTATTAAATACATAAATAGACAAATTCATAAGTAATAGTAGCCCAAAAATCAATAATAATATAGCAAGGTGTTGGTCTCGAGGGTTAATTGTTACAATTTTAGAAGTTGGGGGTTAAAAGTGTAAGTTTCGGAGTGGTTTGCAAATATTTATGAATGCATGGACTGCTTGGTAAATTATGGGGACTTAATTTGAAGAGATTTTTGGAGGTTGGGGGCTGAATGGTAAATATTGGATTAAAGTGAAAAGATTTTATGGGGTCAGGGGCTAAAGTGTAAGTTTTGGGCTTAAGTTGAAAGAAAAGGGGGGAAGGAGGGATCGAATCTGTCATTATGGGATACATTCATATGGGGCTCGGGGTATATAAGATCCGTCACCCGGTAACCCTAACCCTAACTCAAGAAGGCAGCCGCCATCATCGGAAGTCCTCCAGCCGCCACCCTCTCGTAACCGACCACCACTCAACCACCGGCAGTCTAGCCGTCGGACACTACCGCAATGTTGCTGCCAGACGTTTTGGGCCGCTGAACGAACCACCGAGACGATCGCCGTCGTTGCCGCCGTGTTGTCTCAAGCGACCAGCGAAGCTGTGAAACGCATGGACCGACCGCCGACTGCTGCCTTGCCTTTGAAGCGCCTTTCGTTTTAGTTCATGGGTTAACGTTCCATCGCCCTTCTCTCCTTTTGTCATGCGCCGCCGCAAGGGTGGCGGTGGTTAGATGCATTTTCGGCATGAACTCGCGTGTGTTGATGTTTTGCCGGGCAGAAGACCAAGAGAAACCGTCGCCACCACCGTGAGGTGGTGGCTATCATCGCAAAATCACTGCCGCTGCCGCCTCACCGTGATTCTGTCGTCGCCAAACGCCACCAGGTGGGTGGCTGTGTTACTATTCCGGGCAAAGAGTGTTGTGTGTCTATTTCAGTGAAGTGGGGTGCTTTGTTTAATCGACATTCTCGGGAAAAGCCACCACCACCACCGTGAGGTGGTGGCTGCCACCATGTGTTACCGCCGGCCGCCACAAGGGTGGCTGTGTATGTGTGTGTGTGTTTATCTTAGTGTGTGTGTTATTTTTTTGGGTTAAAGCATTGT